GTTTTCTATGTATAATCTGTGTATCATCTATCTCTTAATCCTATATTCTAAATACAAAATTTATGTTTTAAGTTGTGTGTTTTTGGTATTGTATTAATATCATATTTTATTTTTTTTTATTCTATGTTGATTACTCTAATTTCTGTTCAGAATAAGAACTATGTCTTCTATTCAATGCTCCACATTTCTAAGTTTTTTTCTATACTATGAAATATTCAATGTTATATACTTTGTATTGTAAACTATGATTTAAATTCCTGGTTCTTCTATTTCTACATTCCATATTTAATATTATTTAGTCTATTTTGTTTAAGTATATCTAACAATTCAAATTCTATGTTTTATATTTCAAATTTTTTTTCTTAAGCTCTGTATCCTGTTATATATAGTTTATATTTTTTACATTCGATGTTCTATCATATACGCTATAGTTTCAGTTTTGAATTCTATATTTTATATTCTACTTTCTATGATTTATATTTTGTATTCTATTTAATGTAAGTATACTTTATATTCTAAATCGTATATTTTAGCTTTGATTTCTTCTATATCATATATTTTTAGCTATATTATTTACATTACATATTATATATTCTATAATAAACGTAAATATTGCGGTAATATGTTATCGATATTGCGTTCTATGTAACTTTCGTCTAAATTTGAATTTTTTTTTATATTTTATATTTTAAATTCTATGTTACATGTTTTATATTTTTTATACTGTGTTTAGTACTACATATATTATGTTCCATCTTATATGTTATAAGTTTGCTCTCTTTTACACTAATATTCTAAATTCTATGTTTCAACTTTGCTTTTTTCTATACAATGTATATATTGAACTTAATATTTTATGTTCTGCATTATATATAATATAATATTATATAATGAGTTCTATATATATTCATATTTACTAAATTCTTATTCATATGAATATCGAAATTATATTTTAATCTAAGTCCTTGTTTTTGTTTTATTCTGATCTTTATAGTATAAATTCTTTTTCTATATTTTACACCTTAAATTCTATGTTACATATTTTATAATTTATATACTATGTTAAATATTATGCTATATTTTTTATGTTTTATTCTCCTTTACACTAATATTTCAAATTCTATGTTCTATGTCTTTCATATGGTCTGATGTCAATTATATTCTTTTTCAAGTATTTTATTTCTCATTTTATACATTTTATTACCAATTTTTTCCTCCTCGTACTTTCAACGTTATATTACAAAATATTGCCTCCATTTTGCTTCGTCCAACTCTATCTATATACATATATTCCTATAAGCATTGCCTACAGTAAGGCGACTGCAATGTCTCTATGTACACGAGTGGGTGTTGCGACAAAACATCAAGCATCGTTGTGGGCTTTTAACGTTTATCGTTGGCATTGTCATTTCCGATCATTTTTTATGTGATGAAAAATAGAAAATTGCAAATGTATAATGACAAAAATAGCACAAATGCAGTGGAGAGTGAAATTTTTGGCATACATTTAAGCGCTGGCGTGAAAATTTGCTATGCATTTAAAGTCATGCTGCCAAAAAGTGTCAAAAGTGAGCAGTAAAATTAAAATAACAAAAAAGGAAGCATAGTGAAAGTAATGGAAAGTTTTCATTTTTCTGCAGCTGTGCAAATATTGAATAGTTTTAAATTGAATTGTTTATCGCCCCCAAATGTATGCTACAAAAATGTTTAAAGATACATTTTTTGTTGTTTTTTATTGTAAGTTATTCTTAGATATTTACTGCGATAATTCCACTATAGTTTTCACAACATTTGCCGCAGTAATAAATGAAAGGACATTCTCCAATGTCTGCCTTAGAGAGTGAGCAATGAAACATATACACATACAGACAGTGTAATGTTGATTACACAAGGAAGTCATAAAAATAGTTATAGTAGTCAAGATGGGAAAAATGGCATAATGACTAGAAATAAATAGTAACAGTGTAATAAATGGAAATGGTGTGAACATCTACATAACACTTGTATGGCTCTTGAGATGTGACTGCATAACAAATGCAATGCTTTCGGTGTATGAACAGTACGTAGTACATATGGTAGATGGTTGTAAATACATACAAGACATTGCTGTTTTGTAAATATTAATAATATTTTTTAGTGTGGGCATGTCACTTCATTTGCTTGCATTCAAATGGGTTTATTAGCCTTTTGAGCTTCCTTTGCATCGCCTATTGGCAGGGCAACTTTTGATTAGTTTTGTGTCGGTGTATAAGGGCGACGCATTTTGTTTCAAATTAAAGTTGAACTAACTTTTAAACTTAGAATCTGGGCTTAAATAAATAAAAAGATATATCAAGAAAAAAAAAAACTTTTTAAAACTCGAAAAAAAATCTTAAAAACGAGATTACTATCAGTATGGTATCAAGTTCGATCTCTCCAATTAGTAGACCGATCCTTTGTAATGCCAAATTTTCCTAAAGATAAATAAAAACTCTCGTATATCGGCAGAGCACTTTGAGTTTGTCACAAATCTATTACTATAGGAGAGCTAATATTGATTCCATTTAGTTGCCTGGATGGCTGAAGATATGCGAAAGTTGTACAGTCCAGACAAAAGCGCTGAGATGGTTTTACCTCCCCGCCCGCCGAGGTTGTTATTCTCATGTATGCCCATCGTAACGATCGATTAAAGTCTCTACTATTAGACCAAGCTGAACCTTGTCGAGAGCAACTAACTCAGCGGACATCTTATGACCTACTTTGAGTCTGAAATTGACGTTTTAACCGTCAAAATCGTGACTATGTAACCCGTTTAAAGGCCCATCTATCCAGTATAATAATAATGGGATGAGAATGCCCTCCCTTGTTAGCTCATCACCTAAAGCTTTTCAAACGCTTTCGCTAAGATCAGGTACCCATATATATATGTATATCAAAAAACATATATATTTCATATAAATCATCATGAAACCCTGCACTCCATTTCGGTAGGCTAAATGGTATATTAGATATAGTTATATACATTCTAGAGATTTCCGAAAACTGTACTTCGCCTACCCATGTATATTACATATTTAGTGCTATAAAGTGAAAAATCAGGGAGGAAGGATGGAAAACAGTTCTTATCAACTCTATGCTACTGTGGTCTCGGCGTCCATTTTGTGATAAACCACCCTCTTTGCATGTTCGAAAAGGCCAATGTTGACTAAAAATTATTAAGAGTCTGAAAACCAGTATTCTAGTTGCTTATCTGTCAGACTGATTTGAGATGACTTGAATTTTGTCTAAGTCTAGTTCTTTATAATTTCAGCCGCTTTCTCGAATTCTAAGCTACGTTTCTTCAGCTCTGAATTTAATGCATTCAACGGTAGATGCCGCATCTTGTTTTGGCCTACTGGAGCTTAATTCCGCTTATATTTCTGTAGTGGAAACTGAGACTAGAGAGATGTGAATTGATTCAGGCATTGAATTTGATATTCACTGGTGATTCCTATTTGGTGTGTATCTTAAAGGTCTTATTTCGATAGATCGATCGATTCGATTTCCACGTAATTTGTTCTTCCCATGTGTTTATCCATTTCATCGGGTTAAATACATCCATGTAGACACCTTAGACCTATTTCCAGTCCCTTCTGGGAAGGTATTTCATTTGAAAATGTTGTTCACAGAAGAATGGTGGAACTCAGTCTCCTCAAATATAGTTCGAAGGGAATTTAACATGAAAGCTTATATTTGAGGCTTATAGAAAGCTAGTTGCTTTACCTAGAATTCCAATGTATTCCGATTTTCTTGAATTCTTTTAAACTTGCTCTTACTGTGATCCGTTTGGGATCCGTTTGTAAGCACGAAGCCCCGAAATTGTGCAACCCTAATGTAGTACATTTCTACAGTATATAATTGCAGTAATGCAATTTGAATGTGGTGCAAAACGGTCTGATAATTACAATTGATTGCAATTTATTGTGTAAATATTGGAAATAAATTTAGACTGGAAAGAGATCAAACTGTTCTCTTTTGCTGCCTTCGGATTTTTTATTGAGTAAAATTGCTTAAAGCTATAGTTATAAATGTTGAAATCATCTTTACCATACTAACCAAATTTTCCTTTCCGTAAATCGAATAAAAATTTTGTCTCATCTCCTGTATGGAAAAATTAGTTTTACTTTAGTCGAAGAGTGTTAGTTTATTTATTATATAGATATATCCGTTAATGGTTAATTCTGGCTCTTCTGCAAGAAAAACCATCTTTTCTCCAAACATGACCTCTTGAACTGTTATGTAACGTGTTTCACGCGACTCGAACACTGATCTCATGATAACCGATATTAAAAATTGTTGTTCGTAGTTACTCCTTTGAGCCTCACAATATCAATAAGAACATAAATCAAATCAATCTTATCAGACAAGGACATTTGCATAGGCAGTTCTCAATTTACAGATTTTCATTTTGGGGGATTTATCAGAGGGATTATACGTAAGCTAATAACAAGACAGAAAAATTTGCTAAAGCGGTTCTAAATTTACGGAGTTCAATTTTAGGGATGATAAGTAAAGTTAATACTGTCCAAAGAACAAATTTCAATTCTATTTAAATTTATTCAGTCTTCCAAGTGACTAAAAATCCCAGAGTGGACTTTTGCTTCAAATTAACGCCTGTCCTCATATTCTAGACGATCTCAGTGACCTTGCTCGAATACTTTGCTTTATTTGACAGAAAATCTAATTGAGTTCAAATGTAAAGAGTTATTTTATAGTAAAGAGTTATTTTTGGCAGTTTGGAATCATAAGCTCCTCTTTTAAGTAAATATGGACTAATGCGGATACATGGGTTCAATTCCATTCTCGATGTATGCAAAATCGCTCCAACACTATAAAATTCATTTTATTCCACTAAAACTGTATTTAAGTAATCCGAAAATAATTTAAATACTTTCCGCTTAATCGACTTTCTATATACCCACCGAGGAAGTGTTGTCAAAAAGCGCAAAAAAGCTCCGTAGTGTAAAAGAAAACGGACATTGAAAGTTATGGACTTGTAATAGTCTCATTTGCAAACAAATCGAAACAAAAGGGCATAAGGCACCCCAAAAAAGACGAAGGGTGTGAGAGACAAGATACCAAAAAACTTTATGCGTTTACTTTTGTGCACTTTTTAGGTTATAAATAAGCAGAAAAAACATAGCAACAGTTTAGTGAAAGAGTAACGGTGCGCACGCAAAACGTTCGTTGCCGGATGAAATACGCCAGGGACAAATAAAAGCGAAAGAGAGGGAAAAAAGTGCACAACAAATGCAGAAAACGCAGAGAAAATAGCAAAAAGTTTGCGTACCAAATTGGAAACGTAGCGTAATGCGTAACTAAATGAAGTAATGAAAAGGTATCATCAGTTGGGGGAATCACATGGACCTTTCTTATTTTATTTCTTTATTTTTTGCAGATAAACCGACGCTGTCTTACACTTTGTGGTACAAAACAAATTTCAACTTACCTCTCTATATTTATATACTGCATTCTGGGCATTTTATTATTGTTGCAATACGGTGCTGGCTACAAGGTTTGAGTGCTGTGACAACGGCACGGCACGAAAGCAGTAATGTCAACATAAAAAGTGACGAAAGTTTGCTTTTTAGCGACACGAAAAGGGCAGCGACAGTCGCTATCATTGAAGTTGGACTGTTAAACTTACAGCAAAATACCGTTAAATGTATTAAAGTTGCAAAAAATTGCAAATAAATGGCTGTAAGAAAAACACAAGGGGCAACTTTAGTTACATAATCTAAGTATAATCAAGAAAACATAATGAGATTGGGAAAAAGTGAGTTGATTTAGTGATTGAAAGTGAGCGCGAAAGTTAGAATTGAAATTATGCGAGTAAATAAAAGTGAGGAATAATATTATGCAAATTTTTTTCGGTGAATTTGTGAAGACTGAAAAGAGAAAAAAAAGCCAAAAGAATTGTGAGTACAAGAATCGTCTCATAAGTTAGTGACATTTAAAATGCAACTTTGCCGCTGTCAACTGTCAACCGTTAACTGACATCATAAGCGACATGGGAATTAAATATATATCATTTTAGTGTACAAGAAGACAGTGCGTAATGAAAATTTGAGTGATAGATTTATGTGTGTATGTAGAGAAAGTCACAGAGACCCAACTCTGATGAATTAGGTGAGTGAACAATGTTAATATACAAGTATGACAAGCATCTTCTTTTATAGGCTTACAATTATTGGGAAAACTCCCAAAGTTTTGGAATACGATTTCATATATGAGACTGATTTGTCTGACTATCTTGCAACGGATCATGTAAAAGCAGTTTTCTGAGATTTTAGTTACGATTTTTGAATCTATTTCATAAATGGATTGCTGGGTATTCGCCTTAAAGTTCCCCGCAGAATAGTATAAAGTCTTAACGTTTTAACTACGAGATGACATTTGGCATCGTGGTGACGTCTAATCCATTTTTTTACAAACTGGACGCTTAGAAAAATCTTATCTGGCATAGACGGTGTGATATGATACGCAATTATGTTTAAACGGTATCTTGAAGTTCTGGTCGCAAAAAAAATTTATTCCAATGACCAATAGCGCCACAATTTCAAATTCTTTTCAAAACTGTTAATATCTACATGTCTTCTTTGCATCTCCAGTATCTTATTCTTAGTTCTATTAAAGTTTGTTTAACCTGATTTACGATCAATTGTTATTGCAGAGGGATCTTTCTGGCTTTCTGTTAAGATTCCTAGCGCGAAAAAACTGCATTTGTTGAAGTAACATATATAACTTTATAAAAACGAGCACTATATGTTATATGTTTGTAGTATACTATATTTGTAGAGTTCTATTATGCAGAAAATCTATTATTGAAAGAAGAAAAGTTTCAGCAGCTACACTTTAACTTCAAAAAGGTCTACATTCACTACGATAGCAAAGCGGCAATACTGACCTTAGGCTCGCTGACACTGTGAGAGAGAGATTCCGTGCTCTCTACAAAATTAATGAGCCTGCTAGAGAGGACATCTATACCTTAATTTCATCATACTCCGCTATCCTCCTCCGCTTTAGCATTGGATCAATGGATATGCCGTCAGTTTGGCTTAGTATGATGATCAGCTCTACGATCTAACCTAACCGGACTTACAATGAATACTCGGTGTCATGCTTAGGAGATGATATCCTTGGATATCATTAGATATGCAGATGGTCGGTAATAGAGGAAAGTGAATCATTGATACAACTAATTGAATTATATAAAAAGTTTGAACAGTAGCTAGAGAAGGGGTTAGAGATGGTTAATATGTCCATGTATTAAAAATGGAATAGCAAAATTATACTCGACGGCTACACAACCCGATTTATTTTCAGCAATTTCTTTTTAGTTTCTTAACTTGCTGAAGTATCTTATGATTATTCTTCTAAACTACTCTTCAGCGCATCATTCAATAGATTTTCTAACTAACTAAAAATAGAAAAATTTTTCTTGTACCAAAATCACTCACAATTTCTAAACTTGCATTCTAAATGTTTCTTAAAGCTTGTAGGACCCTCCATTTATCGAGCGCATGCAAAAATTAGGAGAATAAACTCAAAACATACTTGTATACAAAACACTAAAAAATATTTAGAAAAAGGCGATGAAGCGATAGGTTAAACCAGTCCATGGAAGCTGCAGGAAACAACACATTATAAAGTATGAAAACAAAAGTGAAAAAAACTACTACAAGAGGTTTAAAGTAAATTATTTCTCCAATGTGTTGGTAGTGTGGATAGTGTTGTTGTGCACGAGATCTAAGTTACCCACAGGAATGTTATAGTAGTTGAAAGCATGCTAAAGCGTTAAGCTCGAGTATGTGAGCTTATAAAATAGTGTGTAAGTAAATAAAAATTTATTGTTATTGTTCCGAGACGCATGAGTACATCGCATGCAGGGTAAAACACCGTAATACACATACGAGTTACTTGCCACGCGTTGACGTCTGGTGTAGAGATCCTGGCGCTGCAGGTAGCGCACGTTCCTTGCACTGTTTTTAGTTGTAAAGTTACGCAAGGATTAAGTTAATGATACCCTGGCGGAATGGCAAAAATAGAAATAAGACTAACTAAGACTACTTTTGAGCTCGTATAAATGAAAATAATTATTAGTTCGTAAAGTAGTAGTCGGCAGTTTATTTTGTCGACAATTTTTGTTTGACGGAGATTGGTGTTGTTATAATGGTAAAAAGATAACGTATATTGTTTTAAGAAGGGCTGCTACTGACTTCTCCTTTTAGTTTCTACCACCTTGAACTTTAGTACAGGCATAGTGAATAACTACTTGCAGATTGGTAACTTCGCATAACTAAGATTAACTTTTTCGACTTTATGGCAGTCCCAAAAAAAGTGCATACCAGTGATTTCTTTACTGTTATTATCATAATTTCATTATGTTTTAGCCTCAACTCTAAGCTTCGTAGAACCTCATTGAAACTCTGATGCCTCGTAAGCTTTCTTAAGCAGGTTGAAATCACTTCATGGTAACAAGCTTCTATTTTGTTGCTTGCTTTAGTTCCAGTTCAGTTTCTTTGGTGGCTCATAATCCAAGACGCTCTTAGTAAAGTCGCTCTGAGTGATCTCTGTGGTTATTTATATCATGCGTACAGCCCAGACGCATTGGCACAAGTCTAGGACAAAGTACAAAGACGATGTAAATCTAAAACTTTATCTAAGCGATCTGTGTCTGAATCATCTATACAGAACATGAGCTCAGTAATGGTAGAATATTACTATCAACAGATCTTGAACTATCTAGTTCTAAATATAGTTCTAGTGAAAGGGGAACTGGAGCCCGGAGATGATTATAGTGAATTTTGGAGAAAATAATCTGCAAAACATTGTTGCAGAGCACGGGCCGCCCTAAGTATGTCTAGCCAGAAAGGTATTTTCCACGATCTCCCCCCCACTACCCTTCACTGCTAGTGATCTTACTTCGTTATACTGTCTGTTTAATACTTCTATCTAGAAGTTATTTCTGTATACTGTATCAGAGAAAGAGAGCGCTTGTTTGTGGCTGCTCTCCTCAAGAGCTCCCTCTTAAGTGGTTACGGGAATTTTATTGATATGTTTTAGGTTGACCACTAACTTTTTATTAGTTTTTCAATGCTTTTCTCTGACTTACTTAATTTTATTTAATTTAACTTATCAAAATTAATTTCAATTTAGTTTAATTTGATTATATAAAATTGAGCACGTTTTAATTTCTACTCCTTACGATGCAGCGTTGCCATATCATTTTCCAATGAACTTTATACCTCACCTAATCTTAACTCTTTACCTCTCTTGTTGCCATCTTGCTTTTTAAATTCATTTTCTACTCCCATGCCAGCAGCCATTGCATCATTGAACCGTTAGCATACCGCTTGCCGCTTGCCCCTTGCTGCACCGGTGTTGAATCATTGCGGACATGTGGTGTATTACCCTGCAGACATAATAATAACATAATCGTAATTTTTCCACATCGTTAGTTGTCGGCAAGCGGTGGTGAAAGGTGGAATCCGAGGAACTCTTTACTCGTGTACTCTGAGTAAAGCATGTAGGTGTTGAAGGTGGTGAGTCGTCAAGCTGCAATGAACGTGCTGCTACAGAAGACTCGCATGCATCTCCATATACATATTTATATATATAAATATATGCATGTATGTACGTCCTAGCTTTCGTGTGTAAGCTGTATTCTTAGTGCTTAGAGCGTTCAACATCTTCTCGGCTATTTCATTTTCGATGATTTACTTTATAAAGTCCGAGCAGACAGTGGCACACATACACATGCACATCTAGGTTGAAACACTGTGAAGTATGTAGTAAGGCAGCTTTGGACTGTTAAAGCGAAAGGGGTGAGCGCAGGCGTGCTTCGTGTTTATTTGCAATTGAACTAACGTGCAACTTAATGGTGTGGAAATGAGCGTCGAGCTCCAGAAAGATGGGTCCGCTGGGGAATAAATACCATGAATTTGCACAAAGCACAAACACATATACATTTAGATGAGTGTATAAAATCATTGATGGGCGATTAGTGAAAATGCGGATATTGGAAAGTAATACGAGTACTTAACTGTGAATGCGTACTTGTAGATGGAAATAAAGCTTAATTTGCGCTTACAATGCTATGAGATGTATACTTAGCGGAAGGAGTATATTTCTTTGCGAAGATTTGGATTTATGAAAATGCTTTTTTACAAAAAAAAAGAAAGAAATTATTATACTCTCGCAACCTGTTGCTACAGAGTATAATAGTTTTGTTCAACTAACGGTTGTTTGTATCATCTAAAACTATTTGAGTTAGATATAGGGTTATATATGTATATATAATATTAATGATCAGGATGAAGAGACGAGTTGAAATCTGAGTGACTGTCTGTCCGTCCGTCCATCTGTGCAAGCTGTAGCTTGAATAAAAATTGAGATATCTTTATGAAACTTCGTACACATATTTCTTGGTACCATAAGACGGTTGGTATTGCAGATGGGCGTAATCGGATCACTGCCACGCCCACAAAACGCCATTAATCAAAAACAAATAAATTGCCACAACTAAGCTCCGCAATAAGATACAAGACTGTTATTTGGTACACAGGATCACATTAGGTAGGGGCAGCTGGAGGTAAAATTTTTTTTAAGTGGCCGTGGTTCCACCCCCTAATAGGTTTAATGTGCATATCTTTTAAACCGCTAAAGTTATAATAACAAAATTCACTGAGAACAAATGTCTTTCGCACCTCTATCGACAGTGTGAAAATGCCCATATAACGGTACTGTTAAAAACTACTAAGACCGCGATAAATCGAACACTAACCACGTCAGCGACATTACATTTTATTTTTGGGATGGTATGAGATAACTTTATAGGGACCGCATTTAAAATTAGACAGTGTGCGTGGCACCGCCCACTTTTAGGTGAAACCCCATATCTTGGGATTTGCTTAACCGATATTAACCATATTCGGTACATATTTCTATGTTACAGTGCGAAAATGGGCGAAATCGGATTAAAACCACGCCTATTTCCCATATAACACCATTTTAAGTTCCATCTGATTCTTTCACTTTCCACTATGCAAATCAAGTAACAATGATTATATCGGGGTAAAACTTTGCGTAAATAATGCTTTTAAAGTATGCCACCTTGTGACCAAAAA